AAATTAATGAAAAAATACTCAGAAGTGGCCTGGAGGACTGTATATATAAATGTAAGTTAGTTGGTGAGCCTGTGTGAAAATTGGCCTCTCAAGAGATGGGAGAGTTTTTAGAATCAATGCATGTGAAGACTGGGGAGGAGTGGAACGGGATTTGAAAGTGTTTGCCCCTCTTGTTGTTTCTTACGGACCCCAGCTATTTATGTCTGGTTTGGGGCATTACACAGTAATTTCATGGTCACTATTTGGGGAAGAGTCGGACTCGACTGTGCGACTGAACAACAAAAACCCGTGGTTACTGAGCAGCAGGGGTCATTTCCTGCCGGAGCGCACAGGAGCGGAGCTCCGGCAGTAAAGAGCCCAGGGGGCAGGCACATGCAATAAGCCCCACCCCCTTCTCCCAGCAGCCCTCAGTCAGACCAACAAGCAGCCAGATATGTTGCAGAGCCCCTCCCCCCGTCCAAAACAGTTCAGTGCCACCTTTAAGACCAAGTTTTATTCAGGTACAAGCTCTCCCCCCTCTGCGAGGATAGATCTGCACGTCCCCCCCCCCCAAGAGCTAGCAATCCGAAACAGTCCAGTGGAGCCTGAGCGGTGGGTGTTGCGTTCTGACACACTTCCGGTGATGTCAGGGGGTGTGGCATATGCTAATGAGTTATGCTAATGAGCTCCTGCACCTCTTTTTCTACGAAATGACCCCTGCTGAGCAGTATTTCAGATAAACCTTTGTTAACTAAAAGCATATTCTGCTCATTCTATTCCCCTCTGCTAATTTGTGTTGATTTCTGCCTCCAGTTGGAGCTCTCTTTGCCATATCTCATGCTACTCTAGAACAGGGCAACTTTAACCTGCAGCAACTTTGTTTCTTTTTGGGGGTGGTAGTAATTGGCAGTTAGAAAGAGAAGGGAGCTTTCATTTCACATGTGGTTCGATTGATGTTTGTCAAGATTCCCCCACCCCTTTTATTTAATTTGACCATCGTTTGGTGATCAGATTTCCAGGGATAACGGAGTCAAGATGTCTTCAGTCAGGAGATTTCCAATAGCAGAAAGTATGAAACTCACAGATTAGCACAGTACTGCACTGCAACAATGAGGTTAGTAAAAGGACAGAGGATCTTTTGTGGCTTACTTAGTGTTTGTCATTTGGAGCACCATATTTAAAGTTCACAAATTATTAAATAAAAATTGTGATTTAAGTGCATCTGTTCTTTTTCCATCTGTCCCTGGGTAACATTAAATAGATTTTAATCAACTTAGGGTAGTGCCGGTGGGATCTTTTCTGCAGACTTGGAGGTACTTAATCCTTAGGGTTCATAAGATAATAAAGATTCATTCAAACAAGGTGTAAAGCATGGCCATGATTGCTTACATTATCTCAGTTGGTTTTAACAGTATTATTTTCCACTGTCAAGTGCAAATGTTTCCGTTGTTAGACGCACAGAGTGGCTTAACAGCATGTTGGTAACAATGCCGTAAAATGATAGTGTGATCCCAGCTGTTGGTGGTAGTTTTGCTTCTGTCAGATGGAGCAGTGACCTCCTCCATTTCTTCCTGCCCTAGAGCCTTAATGTCTCCAAAGTATTATCAGGAATGAGGTGCATAATTCTGTGCATTTCATGAGAAGGCTGTGCAGGTAGAGACTTGCTGTATTCATTGCAGCTGTCTTGAACAGAAAAATGAACCCTCAAAATGCTATAAATTTGTTTTCATGCTGCCTTATCACGTATGATGATTTTTCTACCTGCATCAGATACCAATTTGGTGGAATAGGTATAAATAATGTCCTCGCTTCCAATTGGAATGTGGATCATTCCTCTGCATCAGTGGTAGAGCGGCTATTTGGCAAATTGGCATGCAGAAGATCCCAGGTTCAATCCCTGGCATCTCCAGCTAAAAGGATCGGGTAGTAGGAGATACGAAAGGCTTCTACCCAAGAGCCATTGTTAGTCTGAGTACATAATGCTGACCTTGATGGACCATGGGTCTGATTCAGTATAAATCAACTACATGGGTTCCTCAACATGAATTCATGCTTGTCCAAGGACACAGGTGCCCTAAAACAGCACTATTAGCTTCCTTCTGTTGCTGAGCAGGCTCTGTTAGTTGCCATGTTTTGCCCTGGGACAGGCTACCAGGCACCTATAGGCAATGTTATAATAGCTGACATTCTTTAAACAGCTATCTGACCTAAACCCACACACGTCATGAAACTCCGGTTAAGAAATAGAAGCTTGCTGAAATGTGGTGTTTCCTGATTTTTGTCAAAATAAGTCTCCTTGTTGTCGTGTTTTTATAATTCCTTTTAAAAATGCACTTAACAGTCTTATAAAAATACTCATTTTCCAGGGAACTTGTAATGTGTCTCCATTTGGAAAAATTATTAAGAACTCCCATTTATAAGTCTCATACTGTGTTTCATTCAAACCTGCAATACCCAATTTCACTTGTGTGTGTGGAATGTGTAATTAATTGTGATGGGGGGGGTAGGTGTGTGTTCCACAATGGCAAAGGTCTCTAGTAAGGGTGGGGGCAGCAGGGTGTAATCTGTAAACAAAAGTTGAATACAATTTCTGTGCCAAGTGCAGCTGGACCACACAGTGTTTATGGACTAATGATTTGCTAAATTCAGACTTGTTAAAATTGGAAGCTGTATAATTTATAAGAGCACAAAGCAACTATAACAACTTTTTCAGTCTTGTAACTCCAATGGTGTAATTGATTTCTCTTCCACATGCGCATATTCTTTTTGGGAGGGGAGGGGTATTAAACTTCACTCAGGGTCTGAGACCTCATAAGCCCGTATTTCAAGCTGCAGTGAATTTTTATGGCCAAGTTATAAATCCCTGAAAAAATATGCCGCTTTATAACTAGCTGTGACAGAACTTTAACCACTGATCCATGAATACCAGCAGGGCTACAGTCCGCTTTATTGCAGTCATAGTAAGTCTGCTGAAAGAATCAATCCATTTTAGATTTCAGCTCTGCTTTTGAGTCAAGTTTTTCTCTTGTTTGTGTGTGGTTCCTTTTGCGTTTAAATAATATATCAGACTGCTAATAACTCACATTGCACTTTCCAATTAAAGACTGCCTACTGCAGAAACAGTTCTGTATACAACTATCCTGTTGATAGAAATAAATAATATCTGGATATTACTTGGAGAGGGGAGATGCAGCTGGTTAGAATATTGGGGTCAAATTTTTAGCAGATCAGAAGTACTACAGCAGCTCAATAAGTAATTTGCACAGAATTAAAATGAAGGATTTGAGTTTGGTTGCATGGTAAGAGTCTTTCTTGCTTTTTTCACACAATCTTTTACCATTCCAAAGTATCACCGTGTTCAGTTTTAAGAAATTTGTTTGCATTTTGGGTTATTTTTAGAACAAAATTAATGAATGTGGGTATCTAGTGTGGTACTTGACAAATAATTTGTTAGGGAATCTGGGTGCCAGCAGTTGCCCAGGTATAGAATACAAAATGGAACATTTTTCTTTTATTACAATGCTGGATCTTTTCTTTTGTGAAATGTCTTTGATTCCCCCCCACCTCCTACTGCTAATGCTGTCCAAACCTCATCTTTCTAATATACAGCAGACAGGCACCTTCAACCCCACCAGAAACAGACACAAAGAAATCACAACCCCACAAAGTGTTAAAACATTCGTGTTTTGTTTGTCTCTTTGGAACTAGTTCATGAAATAGGGCAGGTTTATGATATCAGTCTTTTAAGGTCCAGGAAACTTTAACTAGACAATCAGTTCTTTAGTAGCTTGTCTTGTAAATTGCAGTATGGCCATCTGATGGTCCCTACCTTTCCCCCCTCACATCTGGCCACAGAAAAGCTTTACCTAATGGCTTCAGAATACCAGACTGAGCAGGCTCACAACCTCTCGGTCGAGTTGTCGAGCACGGCTGCTGTTACGCGCAAAGTGAGCATGCTATGGCTGCAGCCTGTTTACTCAGAAGTAAGTGCTATTACATTTAATGGAACTCATGCCCAACTAGACCAAATGCCTTTAAAATTCATAAGGGCACAACTAGACTATATGTGTGTGTGTTTCTGTCTGCCTGTTCACATCTGTGAGAGTGTGGGGTCTGCTTTTACCTTCTGTATCCAGTGGGGCTCAACCAGCTTTTATTATGAATTATTAGTATGAGTAGGCTTTGTATGATTTGGAACAACAAAGCTCTGGTTTCCCATGTTGGATGCAGTATGTCCAATGTTGAGCCTAGGTTCAAATCTTTACTCAGCTCATGTACATTCTACAGAGCCTCGGTCTACCTTTTAGCCTGCAATTCCCAATCTGTTGTAGGAAGCTTGAAAACCTTACAGGGGCATTTTAAAGAATACCATAAATAATTTTACTTATCAGAAGTGCCATAGTAAAACAATCAATTTAACATGTAGGCAAGACCTGAAGTAGATGTGCTGCTTCTTTTTCAGAGGTGACTGCCTGCCTAAAGTATTGAGAATGGGCTGGGAGGTAGGGAAAATAATACTACTTTCATATTCATAATGAGGAACCAGGCAATTCTTCAGCCTTGCTATACTGGTATTTAAATTACAAAATAATGTCTCCATTCTTTGGTTTTCTCTATGGGAAATACAGCCACCCTTCTTGTGATGCTTGGTACCAATTAGTTCAGATGGGACAGTGCTTGATAGTACGAGCACAGTTCATGTTCAGCTGAAGAAAAGCAGAATGGTTATTGTGTATGGCTCCACGGAGTAACAAATTTGGATCAAGGTCCATAATAATTTGCTGATGGAACCTGGAATAAAAGGGCCGATACTTATTTCTTTGGTATGTCACATTCCTCTTCCTTTTATTTATAGTAGCTGTTTGCCTCTTTTGCTTCCAGACCTTTGTGTGTAGGCTTTGAATGTTAGCAAAGCTGTGAAATCTCTGAGAAGTGACATCTGGGTGGGTGAGATTCTGGAAAGAGAAGCTCATTTCAGTACCACCAATTAACATTTCACTTCCGATTTGCAGGAATTGGGTAGCCTTGGTGCGTTAGGTGCAACTTCCACGCTATGGGCAAGAGAAACAAGAGGACAGCAGATAGTTCGTCCTCTGAAGATGAGGAGGAATATGTTGTGGAGAAGGTTCTAGACAGGCGTGTTGTGAAGGGTCAAGTGGAGTATCTTCTCAAGTGGAAAGGATTCTCTGAGTAAGTCCAACTTTCCTTCTGACATGGGCTTTGAGCTTCTTTGTTAGCAGAGCTCCAGACAGTGCTTCAAATTTAACTTCCATTGCCCTCCTCCAAGCTTTCCTAAAAACCTTCATGGGTGGGAGCTTGCTTTCCTCACTCCAGACAGAGTGGCGTGCATCCATTTAAATTAGTGGGTCACGAGGCGAGGGCCTGGGACCTTTAAGGGTGTTTTGGAAATACTGGCATCTTGCGTTCCCTCTCTCACTTCACAGAGTTGGTAGTTCCACTTGAGTTATTCACCAGCACTATCGTCTAAATAGTCTTCCTCTTTGTTTGGGTATCAGGCACCTTAGGATTTTGGGTTAAATGACCCTTTGGATTGTTGCGAACTGCTGCTTAGGGAAAGGGCTCATAATTCTGTTCCCTTTACACAGGGTTGTGTGAACTCTGCAATTACAGAATTTTGGGACTGGGTGCTGGACTGAGCATCTGGAGAATCTCTGCTTTTATATATATATTTTTCCATTAAAATTTCCAGCGATCAAGAAATGGGGCTGCAGCAGCCTGCATACTTTGGCCTTCCCCACAATTAATAATAAGTTATACAAGACAGATGCATACAGATTTACATAATTTATGCAGGATGCAAAATTCAGGTGAACTTGATGGAATATTTTGATTTAAAAAAATAATAAAAAAAGAATATGCAGCCCTTTGTTCTCACTTGCCCCAATACAAAAGGACTGCTCTCAAAGCAGTGCTTGCATGTTTGTTTGTCTCTGTAAGTCTCTTGCCCTCTGGCAACAAATCTGTAAAGTGTGGCCAGGAGTTTTTGTCTACAGGATTCATATTTGAGGCATAGGTGTTTAAATGGATGCACACTACTTGGTTCTGGGAGGGCAAGTTAGCAAGCAGACAATAAGCATTGCTTTCATCAGTATCTCCACAGCAGTGGGGAGGATCTTTCTCCTGTGATTCAATTAATCAAATGGTTTCCGTGTCCCTACTAATCAGAGAACACACACTGTTGGAAACCATTTACTTTTGTATTTCTAAAGGGAGAGTAACATTGCTGCTTTGTCCCTGTCTGCCTTGGTGCAACTTTTGATGTTTTGCTCTGGGCACAAGCTAACCTAATTTAGTTGGTAAGGAGCTTTGAACTGCCTTGAGACCTAAAGGAAAGGCAGTCTACAAATTACAAATGTCTTTAGATGAACTGTGCTTTTTGAGCCACTCCCTTAAGACTGCATGGTATTGTAGGTGAAGTTTCTGCCATGCCCTCTTCAAGCATCACTTCCTTCTCTCCCCAGATACACAGGGTTTAGCGCCAAGCCTGAGAGAACTAAAGCAAGCTCACTGCTTGATGATTTTTTAGCTGGTCCAACTCCCAATAAAGTTAACATGGTACTGCTGCTGTGGAATAGTATTTAGTTGCTTGTGCACTCTTCTCAGCACAGCTCGTATGTTAAGAGTGTTCTGTTGTAGCAGGAAGAGTCTCCTAAACATATGTGATTGTATGATAATTCATTTCTTACTTACTTCATTATGCTTAGTGTTCCCTTTGGAAAATCACTCTAGCACAGGGGTCCCCAATGTCATGCATGTGGGTGCTGTGGTGCCTGCTGATACCTTTTCTGGCACCCACTGGGTGTTTTTAGAAAGTGGGCAGGACCAGCTTCTGATAGGCCATTAGAGATTTTATTGGATGTGCAGCTTTTAAAGATTTTGCTTTGGCAGCAGCCGCCACCACAGCACAAGAATCTTCAGAGTGTGACCAAAGGGAAACTGTGGCAGCCATTTTGTGGCTGCAACCACCATACCATCAGAATTCCAAAGGTGCCTGCAAGCTCAAAAGGTCTGGGGACCGTTGCTCTAGCATGTATAACACTTTAATCAGAAATGCATTTTATTATGAGGCCTGGAAAAATGTTTTAAATAGAGAATCTCATTTTTAGTTACCAACCCTGTGCTGGAATTACTGGGGTTAGGGGTGCATGTGACAAATTTATTTTAAATCATCAGATCTTAAGACCCCAGGGCAGCCATGTACTTTGCATTCTTCCGGTTGTGGCCAAAAACATCCCAAATTTCCAACAGAACCAAGTTTAAACACGAGGTTAAAGCAAAATCTTTCTTGGAGTAAATAATCATGAGAAAAGTCTACTGTGCTGGTTTCCTAAGCATCCAGCCATCCTTAGGAAAGTGGAGGGAAATTCCAGTCAATAGACATTTACACACAGTAGTTCTTTTCCTCAGTTCTCAATTGATGCCTGTTAATTGGATGGGAGTGCTTATACTTTTCTTGCTTTTTTATCTTTCCTCCCTCCGCACCTTTCCCTTATTTTATCACATCAGGGAGCATAATACTTGGGAACCCGAGAAGAACCTTGACTGCCCTGAACTGATTTCTGAGTTTATGAAAAAATATAAAAAAATGAAAGAAGGTGAAAACAAACCCCGGGAGAAATCGGAGAGTGCCAAGCGAAAATCAAGCCTCGCCAATAATACTGAGGACCTCAAAGCCAAAAAGAAGAGGGAGGTAAGGTTGTCTCTCCTTCCCTCATGGCACTGCTTTGCCAGAGATGTTTCTGTATCCAAGCCATAAGCTTTTTTTAAAGCGTTGCAATGTGATTCTGTTCTTTGGAGCTGTTGGTTTCCGAGGGTAGCGGTGTTGGTCTGCAGCAGAACACCTAAATATGAGTCCAGCAGCACCCTTAGAGACCAACAAGATTTTGTCAGATGAAGGGAATTTTGACTATGCTGCTGCTGAAGGTTCTACTGGACTGGTATGTAGCTGTTAGGTGCGTGAGCAAAACTGTCAGTTCAGTATTTGGAGTTGAGAAGGGTGTCTTTTTCCAAGCAAAACCTCTGGCTGGCTGCATTTCATTACGCCAAATTTTCACGCCACTCTTGAGGAAAGCTATCCTGTAAAACAGGATGAGCTAATTGCCACCACTCATTGTAAAGAAAAGAATCGCTAAAATAATTATGGCCTTTAAAATATAATAAAGATTAACAATCAAGCAGGGAACCACTCAGTACTGTCTACAGCAGATTAAGATTCGAGAAATGCAATTTACTGTTTGAAAGCCTGGATAAAGCAGGATTCCTTTTAAAGTGCTCTTATAACTGTGACAATAAACAAGCCTGTGTCGAGTCTAGAACTCCCCATACGTTTATACCCGAGCCAGTCTCGTTGGGATTGTTTTTGGCTGTCACTTTTTTTTCTGTGTGAGAGAAGTAGAGCTGGAAGCAATAAGTCTCTGTAGTTTAGAAATCCTCTGCTAAGAATGTACTGCTCAAACACCGTATCTCTAGTCCCTTGGCATTGTAATGCCACGATGCTCAGAGCAGCTGTGCTATGTCAGGGAGGGAGGGAGGACGGAGAAAGCTTGATGCTGATAACTTGGTTGGGGTTCTGAACATGCACGGAATGAAGTGGAGTGGATCTTTCCCAGCTGCTGTGTCCTTCCAGAAGCAAAGCCACACCTTACGTTTATGATGACTCTAAGCAGCTACTCTTCTTTTCCTCCCTTCAGATTACGTATGCCACAAGTATACTGAATTCTGGTTTCCGTTTATAAATCTGTGGCAGAGATTACTGCAATACAGGTGACTGGAAACTGGCTGGGCAAGGATATTGGTTGAAGGTTGTGAATTAAGTGCATGTCCAGATGGTGGCTTTGGATGAAGACTAATGTGCGTTCAAGGCAAAGCCATCAATCAACATATGGCAGGGCCGTGAGCTTATGATGGTCCCTCACCCAGTGCTCGTCTATTCACCGAGCAGCTATGATGAACACGCAAGGGCAATATAGTTACAGCAATTGAGGTGGCTCCCATGAAGACTATAACACTGCAAGAAAAGTATTGCTCCCTTGTTTCCCTGGTAGCTTCAATTTTTAATTTTTAATTTATTTATGTTATTTATAGTCCACCTTTCTCCCAGGGACTGAAAGTGGATTACACCTAGTGAGTCAGTACAATCGACAGATAAGACATCCAGTAACTAATGCATTAGGATTTTAGAAGTGTGGAACCACCAGAAAGAAGTGAAGCACAGCATAAGTACTCACACGACAGATTAAGCAGTACAGAAATCACATAAATTGGATCCTGCCGACAGTAAGCTATACACAGCAGTATAGACCACAGTCCTAATCATTTATCCAAGCAAGTTTGTAAAACCATTTTGTACAGTGCAACCCTATTTCCTGCGCAGAAAAGCCCTCTTGAATAGTTCAGTTTTGCATCGTTTGTGGAAAGCCAAAAGAGTGTTGGCTCTCCTCCCCTTCCCGGGCCAACCGTTCCACAAAGTGGGAGCCACAACAGAGAAAGCATGAGTACGGGCAGTCATTGATTTTGCCCATTTGCAGGTTGGCATCTGCAGAAGCCCCTGCTAACTTGAGCGAAGCGGTCACGGCAGAACATAGGGAGACAGGCGATCCTGCAAATAAGAGGGGCCAAGGCCATGAAGGACTTTGGATGTGATAGCCAATACTTAAACTGAGCCTGGTAACAGATAGGCAGCCAGTGGAGCATCTGCAGAATGGTAGTAATATGCATACTCTGTCTAGCTCTAGTTAATAGTGGAGACATGGAATTCTGGACCAGTTGGAGTTTCTGTGTTGATGTTGAGGGGTGATCAATGTACCAGGCAATGGCTTGGGCCTTCAAACCAGGATTCCAAGCTGTGGTTTAGAGTATGGTTTTCTGAGAGTACAAATCAAAAGTTTATTTATTTAAAAAAATTATATGCCATCTTCCACCCAAATAGAAGAAGAGAAGAGATTGAATTTATACCCCGCCGTTACTACCCAAGGGAGTCTCAGAGCGGCTTACAAACTCCTTTCCCTTCCCCTCCCCACGACAGACACCCTGTGAGGTGGGTGGGGCTGAGAGAGCTCTGACAGAAACTGCTCTTTTTCAAGGACAGCTGTGCCAGAGCTTGTGACTGACCCAAGGTCACATCAGCAGGTGCAAGTGGAGGAGTGGGGAATCAAACCCGGTCCTCCCAGATTAGAGTCCGAACAGACATAATACCATCAGGGAGGGGGGCCAGCAAGAGTTTGGTCTAAACTTGTTTGTTTGGTCCAGACATGATGGAGAAATGCCACAACAAACAGTGGCACTAATTCAGTACAGTAGTTTGCTATGAACAGAGAGGGAAGGAGCACACAAACCCAAGGATTCTCCAGGCTCATTCACCTAGCAACAAACTCTGGTTTCCCCATGGCTCTGAGCAACAAAGTTTATGGGTGCTGCAAAATACTGTGAAGGTCAAATGTATCACCTTCCTTAAAATTTGCCCCCTTTACTTTAAAATTTGCCACATTCACTAGCTAATGTATGAGGAGGTAAGAGAACATGGGTTATTAAAACAGATCTTTATTGGGGAATGTGAACATATGAAATTCTATATAAATGAGGATCTGTTGAGTGGCATTTTATGTCTTGTCTTTCCCTTCCTGGAGGAGAAAAATCTCCTGCAGTTCTATATGTTCGTTATTTTTTTATAACCTTATTTGAAGAAATGCCCTGCCCTTTACAGCTGTGTCTGTACAAAATTATGGCTAAGTCACTAGAGATTCAAACCTGCACTGCTACTGTCGGCCCTTAATGAAATCATAAGGGGTAATAAGGTCGTATATTTCATATCCAGCAGGTTATCCTTAGTGCGTTTGGATTACAGTTTTATAACCCATTATGTATTCTCCTTAAAGTTTTGGAAGTAAAACTGTCCACTGTGAAAATAAGTGGTTTGGTTCCTGTTGAAGCATCCTATCCCCTCACAGAGCATTTCCCCCCTGCATAATTCCCCTTGGAGTTGGTGCCTCAGGTTGGGCTGGGCTTGTCTATTCAGGCCTAGTACAGGCATAATATTAAACCACAGTTAGTCATAGCTATGGTTTAGAATCTTAATTGTGGTTAAAATTTGAAAGTCTACAGTCAGTTCAACTTGCTGAGCAGGTCCCATGTCAGCGGTCGGGCACAGGCTTGTAGCCATGCCCCCCCCCTGCAAGGGTAATGCCTCCTCCTAAATTTGCCACGCTCCTCACCAATCAGCTGGAGCAGGGGGGTCAGGTCTGCTCTGCAAGGCTGCTGCTGCCCGGCCTGCCCTGGGAGCGCTGGTGCTGGGCAAGTCCTCAGCTCAGCCGTCGCTTCTTTCCTCATGTTTTCCTCATCTCCCACCTCGCCAGCATGTAAGTAGTTGGGACTGGAGTCCTCAAGGTTGGGGGAGTCCAGGCTCGAGGCCTCAGACACCCAGCTGGCCACCTCCTGGGAGGGCGGACCAGCAAGGTGGCACTAAGCCCAGTCACTAAACACTGCTTAGATTTGCTAGCTCTCCTCGTTGTACACCTCCCCTCCCCAGGGAAGGAGCCTGGGGTGGGGCAGCCATGCTAGCTGGCAGCATCGTTGCAGGCCCCCGGCTCTGTTTGATTTGTTTATTTAAATAAATAAATGATGTTGTTACCTCAAATGGTCCATGTTGCCCCAAAAGGTGGCTTGTCTCCTATTTTAGTTGGGGAATTAGCGAAGGAGACAAAATGGCTTTGGGGGAGGGAGATAACAAGCAAGAATCTCCACCTATGTTTTACAGGGATTTTTCCTTTAGAAGAACTGTCAAAATGACCAGACCAAAGGTAAAATAGAGATTGGTAAAGAGAATAATAAAAGTACTAACATACAATAACTATACAAGAAGACACACACATTCAAGATCAATTAAGAAATAAAGGGATTAGCGGGAAATATTGGGGGGGGGGGTTGGGGGGAAAGTTATCTGTCCTGAAGAGACGCCAATGTTGGATCAGGCCAAAGGCCCATCCAGTCCAACACTCTGTGTCACACAGTGGCCAGAAATACCAGTGCCATCAGGAGGTCCAGCAGTGGGGCCAGGACATTAGAAGCCCTCCCACTGTTGACCCCCCCCCCAAGCACCAAGAAGACAGAGCATCACTTGCCCCAGAGCCCCTAGCTATACCTTGTGGCTAATAGCCACTGATGGACCTCTGCTCCATATGCTTATCTAATTCCCTTTTGAAGCCGTCCATGCTTGTAGCACCCACCACTTCCTGTGGCAGTGAATTCCATGTGTTAATCACTCTTTGGGTGAAGAAGTACTTCCTTTTATCCGTTCTAACCCGACCGCTCAGCAATTTCATGGAGTGCCCACGGGTTCTTGTATTGTGAGAAAGGGAGAAAAGTACCTCTTTCTTTACCTGCTCTTTCCCATGCATAATCTTATAAACCTCGATCATGTCACCCCTCAGTCGTCTTTTCTCCAAGCTAAAGAGCCCTAAGCGCTTTAACCTTTCCTCATAGGGAAAGTGTTCCAACCCTTTTATCATTCGAGTTGCCCTTTTCTGCACTTTTTCCAAAGCTATAATATCCTTTTTAAGGTGTGGTGACCAGAACTGCACACAGTATTCCAAATGAGGTCGCACCATTGATTTATATAGGGGCATTATGATATTGGCTGATCTGTTTTCAATACCCTTCCTAATACCCAGGAAGAATGGGGCCTGGGACCATGTT